TTTTTGGCGGTACGCGGGCCTCTCACTGTTGTGGCCTCTCCCGTTGCGGAGCACAGGCTCCGGACGCGCAGGCTCAGTGGCCATGGCTCACCCTCCGCGGCATGTGGGATCTTCCCGGACCGGGGCACGAACCCGTGTTCCCTGCATCGTCAGGTGGACTCTCAACCACTGCGCCACGAGGGAAGCCCCTTGCCTCACTTTTATCTGTCAATTCTTGCAGCACATTTCCATCTCCTGACCTCCAGTCCCTTCTCTATCTCATTTATGGACCCTAAAGGGATCTTCCCAACAGCCAGAGGGCTGACCCTTACTCTCCTGCACAAACCTGTTTGTGGCTTCCTGGTCTTAGTACATTGCAAGCATCTGTCCCAGCATTTAAAGTCCTTCATGGGGACTTCCCTGGTAGCACAGTGGTTAAGAATCTGCCCACCAATGCAGGGGACACAGGTTCGATCCCTGGTCTTGGAAGACCCACATGCTGTGGAGCAACTAAGCCCGTGCACCACAACTACTTAGCTTGCGCTCTAGAGCCTGCGAAACACAACTACTGAGCCCGCGTGCCACAACTACTGAAGCCCGTGTGCCTAGAGCCTGTGCTCTGCAACAAGAGAAGCCACCACAATGAGAAGCCCGCTCACCACAACAAAGAGTAGCCCCCGCTCGTCGCAACTAGAGAAAGCCCGCATGCAGTAACGAAGACCCAAAGCAGCCAAAAATAAATAAAATAAAATAAATAAATTTATATATAAAAAAGACCAATTACCTTCCAAAGAAGAGCAGTTTGACTGACTTATCGAGTAGCGCCATGGAGAGCAGAAGAAAGCAAATACTATCTTGAAATATAATTTTATAACCTATGCTCTGTGAAGATAATTCAAAAATGAGGCAGCAGTACAATTTAGAACAAATACATGAGACGTTCTCTACCTGTAGAATATCAATAGAAGATAGTTTAAAAATTGCTGACAGTAGGGATTTCCCCAGAGGTCCAGTGGTTAAGACTCTGCCTTCCAATGCAGGGGGCGTGGGTTCAATCCCTGGTCAGGGAACTAAGATCCCACATGCTGTGGGGTGCGACCAAAAACTTAAAAAGATTTCCTGACAATAACAACAGCTAAGTCCAAAGCTGGGGGTGGGGGGAGGTAAGTGGACTTTACATTTCCTAATATCTGCAGATTATTCAGGAGGAGATAGAGGTTTTCATTTACTTTAATAGGTTAATTATGCACGCAGGAATTTTATGGTAATGACGACAAGAATAGAACCAGAATGTATGACTTACAAACTAGAAGTCTTTAAAAGTATCCTATAAAAACTTAGTAAATCAAAACAAGACAAGAATGGAGAGATAAAATAATGTGAAATTGGTGGCACATATAGAAAATAAAATGTAGGGCTTCCCTGGTGGTGCAGTGGTTGAGAGTCCGCCTGCCGATGCAGGGGACACGGGTTCGTGCCCCGGGCTGGGAGGATCCCGCGTGCCGCGGAGCGGCTGCGCCCGTGAGCCTGTTGCTCGGCAACGGGAGAGGCCACAGCAGTGAGAGGCCCGCATACCGCAAAAAAAAAAAAAAAAAAAAAAAAAAAAAAAATGTAACGTGGGGTACCTACATTGACTCTACAGGATAAATGCTTCAGTTAAAAACAGAGAGTCAGCTTGGATTCTTATTCCAAGTATATGCTCTTTACAATATATGCATCTAAATTATAAGGATAGAAAAGGTCAAATGTAAAAGCAGACAAGATTAGATACTATGACAACATTAATTAAAAAAGAAAGGCTTCTGAAGCTCCTCCGACTTAGGTGCCCTGCTGGCCTAAGGCTCAGGACCTTGTGTCTGTGGATTGGGGTCCTTGACAGAGTTGGGGTTTTCCTGAACTCAGTGCCCAGCTACGATCCAGAACCATGGACAGCGTCAACCCTTCAGCTAGGACCTCCCCGGGGTCTGGCAGGGTGGTTGGAGTGCCCCCTGGGGGCAGATCCCTGACCTGTCTCAATTGCAGAGGAAAGAGGGCTGGAGGAATGGGAGTGGTGACATTCTGTCCCTCAGGACAGAGGTCCTCATCAGGGGACAGCCAACTCCTCAGTCTCCCCTGAAAACCTCCTCATCCTAGGGAAGAGGGGACTTAGCTTCAGAGATACAATGCATTTCTCACCGTTCTTGGCCCCTCGGGGCTGACTCTACCCTCACCCCCTGCAGAAAATCTTCCCTGTGTCAGATTCCTCCCCTTTCTCCCCTCACTTTCCAGTAGGTTGATAGTTTGCTCTTGTTTTTAATCCCTTTCTCATACTGTCATGGAACTCTGGATGACAGAGAACATGGTTTATGATCATTTTCTATGCCTGGTGCTCTGCCACGTCCTGATTCAGCTCAAATAAAGAAATCAGAAGTCTGGTTTAGCTGAAGGGTCACAGAAATAAATTCTAAGTTTTCCTTATTCTCCATGAACGGTAAATATTCAGATTGGGGAAAGGATCTTGTGGCCTCAGTGGAACACAGCACAGAGAGAGTTATCATGAGGTGCAGAGGAAGCCAGGCAAGGTCTGGAAAACGTAGTCGTGTGGTAAGGAGAGGAAGCTTTGATAGATACCATAAAGAGGGGAGACTTTCTGAGGCTGGAGGGCTTGTACAGAAGTTAGGACTCATTCTGCAGGTGTGAGTGCAGGGCTCATGGGAAACCTGAGAATGGACAGAGCCACATGCAAATCCAGTGGCTTTCTGAACTGAAATTGACACCAGAAACCTGCAAACATCACACCCAGTTCTGGGTCTGGACCCAGCACCCCAGTTCTCAGTTTCAGCCTCTGACCAGAAGGAGCCCCTTGCAGATGAGTTTGAGGTCAGCCATCCCTTCTTGAAGCTTCTTGTGTGATCAGGTCTGGGCTAAGAGCCAGGATTGAGAAGATTCTGTTTCAGGTAGGTCCTGTGCCCCCCACACTCCCCTGCTCTGAGAGAATTTGAGGAGAGCAGCGAGAGACCACAGTCCATCCGTTTCCTGAAGGGGATGGAGATGGACACTTGGGGGAGGCAACATGAGTGGAGAGTTGGATGGAATGAACCACCTTGACAGGTTATCATCAGACCTGGGATGAGAAGAGCTCAGCCTTTACTTCCCTGGTCATCACTGGGGAGAAGGGGAGCTCCTGAAAGAGGGAGGAATGGGGGCAGTCCAATCCAGGAAGAGTCTCTGGATGACTGCTGCTTCTGAAGCTGCCCTTGATCTCCAGATAGAAGGAACTGATCTGGTGGTGTCAGTCTTCCCAGACTTGCCCCATCCAAGCCCAAGCTGCTGCCACTCCCCTGGATGTGAGTGTGTAGGGGTAAGTGGTCTGCAACACGTGACGCTATGCAGGGTCCTTGGTCTCCACTTTGGGGTACACCTTGGAGAAGCACAAAGGGTAGGAGCTGAAGGTGTAAGGATTGGGGACACTGTGTAGGACAAAGTGCTTCTTTGTGCTCTGACCTTCTCTCATCCTGAAATTTCTAGGTTTACTCTAAAAGAGTCTACATCTGGGGCTTCCCTGGTGGCACAGTGGTTGAGTCCGCCTGCAGATGCAGGGGACACGGGTTTGTGCCCCGGTCCGGGAAGATCCCTCATGCCGCAGAGCGGCTGGGCCCGTGAGCCATGGCCGCTGAGCCTGCGCGTCCGGAGCCTGTGCTCCGCAACAGGAGAGGCCACAGCAGTAAGAGAGGCCCGCGTACCGCGAAAAAAAAAAAAAAAAAAATTAAAACATTTCATGTATAGTTATATTTTATCACCAAAGCAGATTTAATGTGGCTTGCTACATACAAAAGTACACACACGTAAAATGACTGGCTGAGTTAATCACTTGTAGAGCTTTGGGTTCTACAATATTCTACAGTTAAGCTGCAGACTTCATGGGTAATACAGACAGTAAACGATATAATTCTGAGAAGAGAAGTTGTATGTTGGATGAATTAGAGAAGATTTTCAAAAGAAGGTGGCGTCTTTGTCAAACCTGAGATGAGGAAAGAACAAGGAAAGAAAAATTAAAGGGGGCCCCCGTTCCCCCCCCCCCCAAAAAAAAGAGTCTACATCTTCTGATTTATGGAAGGGGCCAACAGACCACGATCCTCCTATGCCCACAAACAGACCAAGTCAAAAGCTGCAAGGGAGGATCAAGGACCTTGGGCCTTTTCCATCTCTTTGAGGACCTCCCCCTATGACTGCTCTGTGAGCAACAGAGATGCCAGGATGGGGGCAAGCAGGACACTGGGAGATGGCGTGAGGTTCATCATCGTGTCATACTTTTCTGAGCTCCTGTTCTCTCTGTCCTGCCCCAGTGGTGACCCAGACACCTGATATCTATAACCTGGGGACCCTGGAATCTGGGCACAAGGGAATCCTGACGGGGTAGGGCACCCAACAACTGGCAAGGGGTGTCTCTGAGTCACCCTCCCCCCAACACACATCTTATGGTCATGAAGATGCAGAAGCTCTGCATCCTTGCACCTTCCCCACCGCAAAATGCTCAGGTGGACTCAGATGCACTTCATGGCTGCTGGTTCTGGGAGGGAGACATCCTCATCTAGATGGGAGGAATCAGGGAGGCTTCTGGGAGGCCCCTGGAGGATGTGAGCCAGAAGATGGGAAAGAGGGCACTCCTGACGAGGTACCAGCCCAGCAAAGCTCAGAGGTGGGACCGAGGACACCAAGTCTCCCCAGGTGTCAGAAAAGAAGTTTCTGAGCCTCACACCTGTCTGGACCGGCAGGGAAGCAACCCTGCAACCCAGAGCCCCCTGGTGGCCAAACTTTAATACGAACAACCAAGTCGGACACCATTATCAAATACTCACAGTGCTTTGCTAGGAGGCTTTGATTCCATTTTCAGTGGAGGAAATGGAAGACCAGAGAGGTTGTCACTGACCCAGGCTCACCCGGCTTTGCCTAGAGAATCTGAGGTCTGGGGAGCTCACCCAGCAGCTCCCCACCCATCACACAGAGATTGGGGGTAAGGACTAAATCCACTGTCTTGAGGAGCCCCAGGCAGACCTGGGTGTAAATCCCTAGTTGGGGCTCCAGCGAGGTGACCTCAGGCTAGTTGGCCTCGGGTTGTAACAGGGAAGAGTCAATCCTGACTACAAGTTAGATCTGTTTCTTTTACTTTAACCTTTGCTTTCCGCTGCTTTTGTTCACTGAAAGGATACTATCTATACATAATGGCCTGCCTCGGGGAACCCTGCCCCTCTGCCTGAATGTTAAACCAGAGTGCCTTTGTTCAGGGAAACATTCGGACCCTGTCCACCTGCGGATGGCTGCAAGAAAGAAGAAATTAACACATCCCCTCCCCCAGGCTGGCCATTCCAGGTGATATTTGCAAAACTTATGGCCTTTTCACTTTACTTCCTCATCTCCTCCCCCTCTCTGTGCTGTAAAAGAAACTGGCAACCAAACCCCGATAAGATGCTTATTTTGAGACTTTAGTCTGCCATCTTCTCGGTCTGCCGGCTTTCCGAATAAAGTCGTATTCCTTGCCTCAACACTTCCTCTCCGATTTATTGGCCTGTGGTGCAGGGAGCAGAGGGAGCTTGGCCTCGGTAACAAGGCTACAGCCAATGAGATCATGCTGGGGATGAAATGAGATGATCCAGCGCCTGCCCTGTGTACAGCGCGCACACAGAAGCATCACGATTGCTGTAACTGACGTGCCCATCAAGTTACATGGTTTCGCGTATCCCACTACAGGCAAACATGAAACATCAGAGGCACACAGTAGGCGCTCAAGAAGGGTTAGGACTATCTGAGCACGCCCAGAACCCCACAGAGGTACAGGCAAGAGGCCCCCTAGTTCCCAGTCGCTCAGGAATGGAAAGTTGTTTAGTTCTCTCCTCTCTGAGGCCCAGGGGTCCCCCAGACACCCAGGAGTCCTCCGCAGCCCCAGGAGCCCAGAGCCCCAGCTTCTGCAGGACCACAGGTAAGGGGTTCGACCCCTTCCCAACCTCACACCGAAGCCCGGGCTAAGGTAACTCGGGTTCCTTCACAGTGTCGTTTACAGGCGGCCCCGCACTGCCACGTCGTCGGATCCCAGCGGCGAACTGCAGTCTCTAGAAGCCGGGGATGGGCTCCGAAGTCGGGGGTCCGGACGGCTGTGGCGACCCGGCGGCCCCTCCTCGCCCAGCCCCCGGCGGCCCTTGCCGATGGCCAGGCGGGGCCGGCCGCGGTTCAGGCCTTCCAGGAGGGCGCAGGCCTGGCAGAGCGCGCGGCTGGCCAGCGCCCCGCAGCGGGAGCAGGCGCCGGGGGGCGGGGGCCGCGCGGCCGGGGCCAGCGCCAGGCGCTCGGCCGAGTGCACGAGGTCCAGCACGGCCGACGGCCGCGCCGCCTCCAGCAGCTTGAGCAGGTCGCGCGCGCGGCCGCGGAAGGCCTCGGGCGCGTACACGCACTCCTCGCAGAAGTAGTCCAGGCGGCGGAAGCGCGCGTACAGCACCACCTCCTTCTGCGAGGCGAGCTGCAGCGGGCGGCAGCGCGGCAGCGCGCGCCCCTCCCCCGGAGAGCCCAGGGCCCCGCCCCGCGCCAGCCGGCCCGCGTCGCCCCGCAGGAAGTTCATGAGCACCGTCTCCGCCATGTCGTCGGCGTTGTGTCCTGGGGGAGAGACGCGAGCCGGTGAGGAGGCGGCGCGGGCGCCGGCGGGGCCGCGGGAGGAGACCCCGCGGTACCGTGGGCGGCCGGGGGGAGGCTGCGGGTGGGCCCCGCGAGAAAGGAGAGGGGAACACACCAGGCTCCCGTGGGGCAACTGGGGATGCCCTCATTTGCCCCCCTCTCATTGCAAACCAGGCTCTGCGCCCGGTGCCCTTTCAGGTAGTGAGTAAAACTGCTTTGCGCTGCAGATATAATCGCAGTCTTAGTGAAGAGTAGCCCAGACCGCACAGACGTCAAAATGGCATTTGATGGAGATGCTCAAGTGGGCTGTTGACGCAAGTGCCTCTGGGAATGCAGATTATGGTATTTAGAAGGACCAGGGAGAAAGTAAGTGCATAGTTACACAACAGTCACCATAAATTTGAAGCTGAATCTCTACTTATTCTGCAACTTGTCATCTTATACTTGAGTCTATAGTAAAACACCGGTCTTACGGCTTCTCAGGTCGGCCATACTTTCCCCCCTCAGGGCCTTTGCATAAGCAGTTTCCTCTGCTCAGAACCTCTCCCACCCCCGTTTTGTCCTTCACCTCGTTACCCACTCGGCTTCAGGTCTCCGCTCACTCAGGAAACGCTTCCTTAATCCCCACGTTTCTCCCTTCACTAGGTCCTCCTGTGTCATTTTCCTTAGTGGCACAGGGAATAATTATAATCAGGTTATAATTACATATGTGAGAAACGGACAGGAGCAGAGACTGTCTTGTGCATCATCATAACGGCAAACGTTTATATGTTTACCGTTTCTCAGTGTCTTGTCTAAGTGCTTCATACGTAATTCCCATAATTCATCCAATTCCCAGTAACTCTAGGTCCTAGATAGTATTAATATCCCCATTATATAAAAGAGGAAACCAAGGTTAGGTAGTTTGTTCTAGGCCATATAGCTTGCATCTGGCACACAATAAACGGTCAACAATTATTTGTTTGGTACAAATAATTGGTATTTGGTAATTACCAATTTGGTACAAATTATTTGTTTGGTACAGAGAAAGTGTTATCAAAGAGGAGAAGCGAATAGAGAAAAGGACACAGTTGCGTTCAGACTACAGATGCTTCTGCTGGGAGATGCCCCTTCATACCCCTCCTTTTGTGACAAGGGACACAATGTCATAAAAAAAAAGTGCAGAGAACCACAGCCCTAGCCCCTAGAGAGTACCCTGTCACCCCTCTATTTGCCACCGTGTGTGTACAAAGACGATGGCAGTGACTCAAAAGCTTACCATGCCCAACCTTAGGACACGCACATACTGCGAACCTTCAGTGTGCATGCACAGCCCCTCCTCCTTTTTTAGCGTCTCCAATTAGGATATACGCAGTCTCCTTTACACCTCTGGGGCATGCGCCTCAGTGGGCTTACAGTGTCCGCCCCTCGCCCGCGCATGCGCCCATTCCTCCCACCGCGCCCCTCTGTGCCGCGCCTGCGCTCACCCGTCACGACGTGCGTGGCTCCCACGCGGCGCGCCCCTTCCTCTAGCGCCCGGCGTCGCAGCACCCCGCAGAAGGTGCAACAGGAGCGGCTGCGGCCGGAGCCGGCCGTGCTGCGGGCCACAGCGTCCATCGTCCAGCCCCCGAAGAGCTCTGCGTAGGCCACGACGGTGAGCGGGAGCTCCCAGCGTGCTGCTTGCCGCCGCACGGCCGCCAGCGCCGCGTCCCGGTAGCCGCCGATGCCCTCGTCCACGGCCACGAGGTGCAGCGAGATGCCCAGGCGCGGGGCCAGCTCGCGCAGCACGTGCGCCAGCACAGTGGAGTCCTTGCCGCCCGAGGCGCCCACGGCCACCACGGCGCCGGGCGGCAGCAGGCGGCCCGCGACCACCGTGTGCAGCACCTCGGCCTCGAAGGCGGTGCAGAAGCAGGTGGTGCACAGCGCCTGGCCCGAGCGCGGACGGCGGAGGGCGGCTCGCGCCTTGTGGCAGGAGGCGCACTGCGGGGCGGGCATCGCGGTGACCGGGCGAGGCGGGAGGGTCGGCTTCTCCTGGATGGGTGGAGAGGGGAGGCGGGTTACACGTGGATTCCGGATTAAGGGGTCGTTGCCTCCCGGCAGGCTGCCTAAATAGTGCCCAGAGTAAACCCATTGTCTGGAACAGTCTTCCCCCAGCACTGTGCAGGCCTGGCACCTTCAAGTCTCAGCTTAAGCTTTCATTCATTCGTTCAACAAATATCCACTCAGTGCCTCCAAAGTGCCCAACATCGGTTAGGCACTGGGGACACAGCAGGGAGTAAAACACGAAAGGTTGCCGCACTAAGTTCTAGTGGAGGAGCCGACCCAAAGTAGTTTTCGGATATAAATAGGTTACTCTCTGAGCTGAGGCCAGAAGGAAGAGAAGGAGTTAGGCATTAGATCAAGGTGGTAAGAATTTTCCGGATAGAGTTAATACCAAATGCCAAGTACCTGAAAGGGCAGGTCCTGTCTGTGTTCTTTTGGGTGGAAGGTGTGTTGGTGGTTCAAGACTGGAGAGGGTCGGGGGCTTGGAGATTGGCAGGGTGAGGAGCTTGGACTTTACTCAGAGTGAAACAGGAACGGTTGGATGGTTTTAAGCTGTATAGTCACAGGATCTAATTTCTATTTTAACAGGGTCCCTTGGGCTGCGTGTGAATAGAGAGGTGGAGAGTGGCAAGGACAGACATGGGCAGACCAGTGAGGAGGCTCCTGCAGTGATCCAGGTAAGGAACAGTGGTAGCTCGGAGCAGAGTGGAGACGGAATTGGAGAGAAGTGGTCACATTCTGGATCGCTTCCGGAGACAGAGTAGATGGGACTCTGCCAAGTCTTGGGGGTCGGCAGTGGATGAAACAGAGGACTCATGACAACTCCAACTTTTGTTTTGACTTGAGCACTTGTAAGGGTAGTGGGACCATTTAGTAAAGAGGTGGTGGGGTTTAGGGAAGACTGGGGAAATATTGTAAGAAGAGTAAGTTTACGGCAAAGAATCTGGAATTTCTTTTGGGCATGGCAAGATTTGAGGTCCTTTGCTCTGGAAGTCTTTCCAGAACTCTGGGCTGGGTCTGGCGCCTCCTCTGGGCTTCCACGGCCGTCTGACCCTCACCGAAGGCCAGCCCTGACCACTCTAAGGTTGTAATCAGGACAGAAGAGGGTGCGCTCGTACCGCACCCAGCTTGGGCGGTGGGAACAAGGAGTCAGACCCGGCCGGCAGAGTCCAAAGCGGGTCAGCAGGGACACCAGAGGCTTAGGGCACTCCCGCGTAGAGGGCCGGCGGGAGACCGGCTTTGGGGGGATCACGGAGGGGAGTGCCATCTCCCGAGGGATGCCTACCGAATGCGTGGGAGATAAATATGGAGACCGTAACTCCTCCACGGCAGCGCGACCAAGGGCCGAGATCGACCCGCCGCGGGAGGAGGCACTCACCTGAGTGGAACCCGCGCCGGACGGTCCAGGCTCAGAGAAAACGCGGAAGCAGGTAAAATAACTACGACTCCCAGAAAGCTCCGGGTCAACCCGCGAATGACTCCCAGGTGCCCGCGCGGCGGGTCAGCCTGGAGCGCTTACGGCTCTCGGACAAGCTGGGCCTACAACTCCCGGCGATCCTCGCGGTGGTGTTTTTCGATTCCGCCTACGGCTCCCAGAGTGCTCCATGCCAGTGCGGTTCGATTTCCGAGTGCGCCTGCGCAGGAGCTGGTGAGGTGTGTGATTTGGGTGCTGACGTGCGCTGTGGTTTATTCCAAAGATGGATGTTTTTCAGATCTTCTGCTCTTGTGGGAGCATGGTAGACTTTGTCGTGGGGGTGCAGAGGCGTCAGGGCGGGGTACGAAGGGGATAGGGGTGCGAAAGGGAGAGGTAGCGAGGGCGGTGGACCGGTTCCAAGGATCGGGGATACAGCTTGGGTTCTTGCGCGCGACCCCACTGACGTGAGAACGGGTGTGCGCCCCGGCTGAGGACCGCCGCCGCGCGGGCTGGGGCGTTATGCTTGGGCGGAGCCGAGAGGTAGTGGTTTGCGGTTCTCTACGCGGGTTCGGGGCATAAACGCGGTGAGCAGATATGCGCGCACCTGGGTCAGGGGCCAGTGCTCACGCCTCCTGCCTGGTGGAGTTGAACGCAGAGCTCGGGATGGAGGGCAGGTGAGACCCGTAAGACGGAGGGTTCCCCGGGGAACAAGTCCCCCCAAACCAAAAAACGGAGCACCTTCCCAAGAGTCTACCGGAGCCCTGATCCCCAGGTCCAAGCCCTCAGCCCCCTAATTGCCGCCTCTCCTGCATGTTATATTCTGAGATCCTTTTGTCTCTACTCCTGTGAAGCCCTTGAGAGAGTAGTGATGGGGGACATTTGGGTGTCTGAACCTATTTGTTGAAGCCTGGTCATCGGGTTCATTCATTTGTTAATCATTTCCTGAGGCTTTCTGTGTGCCGGGTCCTATTCTCTGGGACACAGGTGTACCAGGCCTGGTTGGGGAGATAAGGATAGCACAGCTTGATGTGGAGGTTCCAGATGTCAGGGGCTTCAGGAGCCCAGAGATTACAGGTTCTGCTAACCAGGGCATGGCGGGTGGGGGGCACTTAATAAGGAGTTAGCATGTGCCAGACACCGGTGCTCTGCACTTCCCTTGCACCATCTCAAGTTTCTCGTCTGTAAAATGGGGGTGATAATCATAGTACCTGCCTCACAGAGTGTGTGTGAAAATAAATGAGTTAACAGCAAAGTGTTTATTGACCAAACCATAAACTTTTATAATTTTCGTCTCATTAAAGTCTCATAACCAGGCATGGCTGCTTTTTCTGGGGGGCTAGGCCTAAGTTTTCTTTTAAAGCAAGCCGTGAGTTGGGAATTTCAAAATCTCAGGCAACCTACAGATAATCTAAGGCAGTTCTCAGTTGGGTGTGAGTTTATCCCCAAGAGAACACTTGACAATGTCTGGAGACATTTTTGATTGTCACGACGGGGGTGCAAGGGGAAGGGTGTGACTGGTATCAGGCAGGCAGAGGCCAGGGTTGCTGGTAAACATACTCTGCACAGGATGGCCTCCCGCAGCGAAGAATCACCCGGGCCCCGAATAGCAGTAGTGCTGAGGCTGAGGGGCCCTGGCTTAAGTGGTATTCTGCTGTGCCTGGTTTTCTACCCCCAAATTAGTATACATTCAGGTGTTGCTGTGTTGGTTTTAGTCCCTCGCTATGAAAGTTTCTTTAAGTATTTAAGCGGATCTCCACACCACTCACATATTGAGTGAGAAGTTAGTTTAAAAAAAAAAAAAAAAAAAAAGGTTCATCTTAAACTGGGCTTCAGTGAAAAAAAAGAGGATGTGAAAGCCAGCCTGCCCGCATCACTCCGTGTGCCACTTGCTTAGTTGTGTGACCTTGAGTAGGTGTCTTAACCTTTCTGGGCTTCCTCTGTTCAGGGGATAATAAGAGCAGCTGTTGGAGGAACTAGATGATTTCATATATGTAAAGCATTCAAGACAGGGCTTGGTGTTTAGCAAGAGCTGTGAAAAGAGTGGAGGGCAGTGTTGTGGTTCCTTATGTCACTCCCCTGGGGCAGCAGTTGTAACACGTTAACTTAGTTTCTAAGGGGAGAGACTGAGTTGGTGTCGAGGGCTTCTGGAGGGGGCGGATGACTGTCTGCAGCTGCTTGTCAATTAGAGGGTAAAGATTGAGTCCCTCAGCCTGGTGTTTGTGACCTGGCCCCTGATGACTTTCCAGCCTCATCTCTCACCCCTGCACCTCTGGCAGGTCCCCACCTTTACTGGAGAAATAACTTTTTCTGCCAGGTGTTTGCACATGCTCCCTCCCCTTCCTGAAGACCTTCCAACCCTCACTCCTCCTCCCCCACCACACTGATTCCTGTTTCTGCTCCAGGTAGCCACTTGGATGTGCTTCCCCCAGGAAGTCCACAGGATCCCTTCTCCCCTGCTTGGATTAACAAGCCACCTCTGGGCTCCCACACCCCTGGTCCCTTACTTTGTCAGAGGCCCTGTCACCTTCGGTTGTGGCTGCCTCTGTTTCAGCATCTCTTTGGGTTGGGTGCTTTTTCTTTCTTTTCTTTTCTTTTTTTTAAATTTATTAATTAATTTACTTCTGGCCGCCTTGAGTCTTCATTGCCGCGCGTGGGCTTTCTCTAGTTGCGGTGAGCAGGGGCTACTCTTCGTTGCGGTGCATGGGCTTCTCATTGCAGTGGCTTCTCTTGCTGCGGAGCACAGGCTCTAGGCGCGTGGGCTTCAGTAGTTGTGGCTCGTGGGCTCTAGAGCGCAGGCTCAGTAGTTGTGGCGCACGGGCTTAGTTGCTCCGCGGCGTGTGGGATCTTCCCGGACCAGGACTCAAACACGTTTCCCATGCGTTGGCAGGCGGATTCTTAACCACTGCGCCACCAGGGAAGTCCCAGGTTGGGTGCTTTTTGAGAAGGGTTTGGTTGGATTTGCATCTGGGTCCCTAGCGTCACTGGGCAGAAAGCCTGGAACAGAGCAGGCCAGGTATTCAAGGCCCTTCCTGAGCCGCTCCTAGCCTACCTCTCCTTTCTTGTATCCTCCTGTTATCTGCGTCCCAGTGAACACTCAGCTCGGGCAGGAGACTGCTGCTGTCGGATGTGGTGGTTAAGGGTGGAGGTTCAGATCCTCGGATGACCAATCTAGTTGTGTAAATGTGGACAAGTTACGTTTCCTCACCTGTGAGATAGAGATGAAGTAGTCCAGTCCAGGAGTAGAGCAGTGGTTCTCAACCTGGATGATTTTTGTCCCCCAGGGGATATTTGGCAGACATTTTTAGTTGTCACAACTGGGTTGAGGGGGACTGGCATCCAGTAGGTAGAGGCCAGCAATGTTAGTAGATCTCTAACACACAGGACAGCCTCCCCAGCAGAGAGCTAACCTGCCCAGAATGTCAGTAGTGCTGAGGTTGGGAAGAGGTACACGTTGAGTGCTTAGAACAGTGTTTGGGCCACAGTAAGCACTCCACAGATATTAGCTACCATTACTGTCACTACTTAAATACACCAAGCTCTCTGTTGCCTCCATCTCTCTGCCCAGAAT